TCGTGGCTCAAGAGACGCAGGTGGTCTACGATCTTATCGTGAACATCATCGAGGAGAAATACCCTGAAATACACTACGACAGGCTGGAAATGGTTTTCCCACCGTATGTCTTGTGTTCATTGTTCTATCCGCCTGTCTTCACTGATCTCGGGCACTTGTCAGGTACTGGGCAAACGTCAAGGTTGATTAGAACAATATTGCACTGGTCCAGTAAAAGACAATTATTCGAAGGAAGGACTTAAATTTACAGTCCGTAGGGAATGGCCTCGTGCTGTGGTACTGCGAACACGAATAAAGCGATCGTTTTTATACCTGAGACAGGTCAGAATTCCAACGTAGCCTCACGTGCCGTACACAAGAATCACATAAGGAGCCTTGCTGAAACACAATGCCGCCGATGAGCATAGTAATATCGAACATCATTTGCATAATAGCATAGATGGCAACTGCAACGAACACGGTCATGATACCGGATCGGATGTATTGGATCAGAGGGAAAAGCGGAATATCGAAGATCGTGCCCCCACTGAGAACGGTAAACGTCTCGAGCGAGGTCCCGTGCATAGTGAGATGAAATGTACCACATACAATACTGGCAACAAGCGGAGGGACGTACGCTGTAAACTGCGGCTGCGAGGTGGGATGCGCGTCCCGTACCAGTTCCAACCGAAGTTACGGACGTTGATGGAGGGCCGAATTATCGCATGAGTGGATCTTTCAATAAACGTCCATTCAAGGGTGCGGAATCCAGATAGCGAAGCAGAACGTTACGAAGAGTGGACCTGTGAAATCGATGCACACAGAGACACGACGAGGGTCCAAACGCGTTAACGAGTACGCGACAGCGCATAGAGTATGTAAGCTGGTCGTCAAGTCGTGCGCGTGTCGGTGCCAGCCCATTAACAGGCACGTGACCGATATCAACTTGAGCCAAAGGAGCCCAAACAAGTGCGCTTTCAACCAGAACGACACGGTAACAGTCCTCGGCGACGCGTCTCTCGTATATATTTCTTGGTTTTTTCAGACATCTTAAAGCGTTATTTGACTTGGATACATATATTCTGGTGAGTTGTCAGGGGAGCCGACCCAAAGAAGCGCGTTGCTTACCCCGTTTTGGCAAGGGGCCGTAATTATTGGACCCACAATTGTCCACAACACAGTTCACCTGCCTTTCTCGTTCAATACTCGTGAGACTATTTCCAGCCCCATTGCCTTGAACCACCTCGCTGGTGGACTTCGAAAAAGCTGACCCTGTCCACTCTTCGCCCTCAGGCGCGGCCTCCTCCGTCGTACACTCATTACGTTCGAGGTGAGGCCCTGTTCATATATATGTGCTCAATGGTGGACCAGGGTGGTCGCAGTTTACCCGACAGCCACGAGGTGTCAAACCGTGTTGGGTGAACAATGGCTACCTCTCTCCTTACACCAAGCTCCCTTTGTTCAACCCCCTGAATTTGCTACTGATCATATCGTTCATCTAGTCGTCACATTGCCATTTGCCTTTATAGTCATACCGGTCACGACCAAGTTGCTTCCGGTCACGTTTCGGTCGGTATTTCTTCCGTCGTTTGTTCCACTTCATGTTCTTAAACCAGGACGTCTGTCTGTTTCCTTTTCTCCGGACACCGTCGCGTCGATTTGTGCAATCACGACCACTCTGCACCACCTGCCATCCGCGCTGACTTATTCCCTCAATTATTCTGCTTGTACGACGTGTATAACACTTACGACACGTTCAACGATGCCCGACGCCTTCATGAAACGACTCACAGAATATCATTCCAACAAGAGATTCCAAAAAAATAACTACCGAGAGTATAACCATTCATCGCACGGCATGACTTTTTTCTCTACGCTCTCCTCGGCCTCTTCCCAATATCTCGGCGCCCCTCTCGCACCTTCACGAAAACGCAGCCAGCAGATGAAAGTCCGTGATGACATTGATGAATTTGTGTCCTCCGATCTCGAATTGTCGTTCGCCTCTACCATGTCCCTCAACTCCCCCTCTCGCGATTACGTCGACGTTAGACACGAGAGTATGCACGGTGAACCCATGGACATCTCCCCCGCACCACTCAGAGCGGTACAGAAGGAGAACGAGCGAAGTAGTAGACCAATTACGCGTCCACGCGCCTCCACCAGTGCAGCCCGGATGTTTGGACAAGACATGAGCAACAACAGTCTGAATGACTCTGCATCGTTGAACACGAAGTCGGGCACGAATTCAGGGGCAAAGCGCACACAGCGCAGTGCTTTACCGGTCGAGTGGCTTGCCTCCACCCAACCCCTAAAGGCCACCAAGACGATGGATGACATCATGTTCACACAAGTGAGTCCCAAATATTTCAATCTCAACCGATCACCAGAACGTTTGTGCTGACTCTCCTTAGCCCCCTTCGGTATCTGTCTCTCTTGCGTCAGACGACGCGATGGACGTAGACTCGATGCCTGCCGTGGAGCTATTGCCGTCGCCGCCGATATCAGCAGCCTCGACGGTCGTAAGATTCGATAACTTGTTTTACACGAATATGTCACCTTTACATCGTGACGGGACGCAGCCCAAGAAGACGCGTTCCCTGTCTCCTGAGGCGGTCAGTCGTGTGGAACCTTCGTCTTCCCCTCCATCCTCGCCCTCCGAACATAAATTCGAACGGATCAGCAACGGTTCTACGTCTACCAATTTTACCAAACCAAGTTTGCAAGGCATCGGTGTTCCGTCCCTTGCCAACAAAAGACTTCGCAGACCTGTCTTCTCCGCTATTGGATTTCCTGCTGAGGGTGGCGGCACACCAGCTTGTCCTGCGGTGGACTCCGATGGCTCACCTGGGCAGAGCCTCCCGGTCGCTCCTCCCCTTACTCGACGGGCCGTATCCGCAATGCTCCCACCAACCTGCTTAGACCATCTCTCCGATGAATCATCTTTTGACGGACCTGACATGTCGTCGCCTGCTCAGGCCTACGCGAAACGTCAGCAGGTCAAGACCATTCGTCGGCGAGACGGCACAGAAGATTTTAGGCCCTTAACCGGTATGTCGCCTGTCGTACAAGTGGTCAGTGCCGAAAGTCCCTCTGCGAAATTTATGCGTGCTGGTTTGCCTGGTTTTGGTGATAATGAGACTATCGGGAAGATTTTGCCATGCCATCCGCGTGCGTGAGGATGGTCTCATGCGCATTGTACCGCGAACGGTAGGTTTCGATGTTTTCACATTGTGTTTTATACTAAAATATTCTTCTCTCTCAAGTTGGACGCACTCTTGGATGGCGCCTTCGATAGCCAAATTGAGCGGTATTTCATTATCGACTGTCGCTTCGACTACGAGTATAGCGGAGGACACAGTTCCCGGCGCCATCAATATTAACACTACACAAGGTGTCGAGGAATTCCTCCTCGGCGGCGGCAAGCCGAATCCATGTGTTAGCGGGGACGCGTCTAAGAAGACTGTCCTCGTTTTCCACTGTGAGTTTAGTGCAAAGAGGGCTCCGACATTGTAAGCAATTGGCTTTTTTGGCGTCTGCTCGAGCCGGAACAATTTTTTTTGGCAGTGCCAAGCATCTCCGTTCTCACGACCGCGCGATGAATAACCACTTGTACCCGAAGATTCACTACCCAGAAGTTTACATTCTGGAGGGGGGTTACTGCGAATATTACAAACACTCGGGTGAACGATGCCGACCGCAAGGATACGTGACAATGGACGATCCGAACCACGCGCACTCACGTAGAGAAGATCTAGATCAGTTCCGTAAAGTTAAGTTTGGCCGCACTAAATCCTACGCATACGGAGACTTGGGCTCGAAGCTCGCGGCTATCGCCCAACAACAGCAGGTGAAACGCAACACGGCCCCCGCCGCTGGTTCCACGCAGTTGTTTGCTGCTGCCAGTGCTGCTCGCACCCGTCGCAATGGTCTCTCTACTTTGGCTGAGATTGGGAACATCACGCAGACCGACGACGAGGAAACGGATATTGGAGACAGTCCTTGCCCACCTCCCAACAAGGCTGGTTTGATGAAAGCGAAAAGGTTGGGACGAGCACCCATGACTCGAGCCGAAACTTTTGACGCCTCGCGTCTGGCTGTACACTGACGACATCACAACGTTCCGTTATTTTGCATTTGTGTGCTTTGCCAGTTGCGGTTTCTTTCAAGTACTTGCTGTCGATCAGAAGTCGTTTTTTATTCAACCTTGTCGTTCAGTCGCTGGAGCGAGCTTTTCACCGTTGTCATTCAAAGCCGTCGACCGTTTGTCTTTCGTTGTGCGCGCAACAATCAGGATCAAGAATTGCCCACCTTCCGTCACGTCCCCTACACTCGTTTTCAAGGTGCCAGGGCGATGCTGAGCATGCTCTCTTGAATTTCTCGCTGGGAACGAAACCCACCAATATGCCAATGTCTTTCGAGTCGTCTTGAGATGATTCCCCGCCACGCCACTCCCCCGCCACTACTCGACTGGATCCTCCACTTTGCCGAGTTTTGGTACCTCGGCATGTCATGTCATCTTTTCTGGACGGTTCCCTGCAACCGCCTGTCGTCTACATGTTCATCTTTTCGTTTAAATTTACAATGCATTTGCGACAACCTATCAGCTATTTATGTCCACTTGCGTTAGCTCTTCCCTCCCCGCATCTCCAGTGCGCAGCTCATCTTTCTCCCTCCATGAGTACTTGTTACATCGCACAGGACTTGGACTTTTGCGACTCCAATTTTTTCTTACAAGTTGTAGAACACTCGTTGGGCTGCGACACTTGTGTTGATACCTTTTCACAATATCATGAGAGTTATGTTCTATCTCGCCCTGTGAAGTTAGACCGAGTGTGAGTGACATTTTTATCTTCAACAACCCCAAGTTTCTGCTTGTGTCGGTAGAGCTGCCGCATTTTGCACGCATTCCTCACGGTGAGAGGCGGCAGTGTTAGCCATTACACCATATCCGACATGTAATGTATACTGGATATTGTGTCCGCCCAACTACTAAGTGAACTCTTGGTTCTTGTTGTTTGAAGTCGGATATGGTGTAACGGCTAACATTGCCGCCTCTCACTATGAGGATACGTGCGAAACGCGGCAGCTCGGGGTTCGATTCCCCGTATCCGAGTTATTTTTTTCTCCGTTTCTCTCCCTCATACATAGCCTTCATATTTCAGTGCGTGCACACAAGATTGAGAGTCGGACAGCACCTCTATCTGTCCCGTTCCATTCCGCGCACACTACAGCGGTGCGGTGGTTACGAGTTGCACCGTATTCGGCGGTAGTTGCAGATGCAAACAAAAGCGACGGGAGCAGATCGTTGCTCAAAGTCTCAGACGTCCATGGACCACAAGGGCAACTGTCAGTTTCACTCCGGCAAATGAAATGTCAGTGTCGCACTTGCGAAGTCGACAGGGGTTTACCGGGCCCATATGCTGGCCAGTCGAAGGATTTCAAAAAGTACCTTTTTTTCACGTACCGTTCGCCGTTCTGCTACCCCCTGTTTAAAAAGGCAGGTCGTGCCTTGCTGTACGCTGCTGGTGACTCTTTTGTTACGCGCGCAAGCACGAAAGAGCTTCAAAGGTGAGATGGAGCGGCGTATGATCACCTCTTCTAAGTTTCGCATGCATGCTTGAGAGCGGATGCCAAACAGTTCGTACCGACCGAGGTGATCCTTTGTCAGAGCATCACCATGCCCGGATCTAGACAGGGGATGCAGTTTCAAGGGCCTATTGCTGCCAATGGCGCCACCTCTAGGGCACTCCTCGACTGCTAAGCGCGGGAAGTGGCGGAAGTTCTGGCTCCCGTTCATCAAATTGCAAAAGCGGAGGTTATATCGAGGTCAACGCCACTTGAAACACACGGATACTGCCTCTGATGACAGTTTTTCTGCATTCGAGTGGCGCACAACAGTGTGATAATATATGACGAGCCTAGTCCCTGATGTAGATGCCCGGTTTCAGATCTTGAAGGACCACCTAAGGTGAGTGATGACGTAGCTGGCTTGCGTCCAGCTGCCATGTAGCGAAGCTAACCGGGAGAGATACGAGACCTGCGGAGACGGGTATCACGTGATCACCGACATTTTTGGACGGCACTTTTACTTCGGTCCTCGGACTTGGGCGTGGTCAGTGATACTACTCATACGCCAATGGCTGGCGAACAAATTATACCACTGCCTGCTCCTCTTCAGGATTTGTCTGTTTTCATCGATACACAGCCAGAACGCTTAGCCCATGAAAGCAGCGACTTGCAAGAGCTTGCGCTCCGAGCGGCAAAATATGTATTTGACTGGGGTAAGCACTTTCAGTACATACCGGTTATCCGTGCGACGCCAGGCTCTGATACAAAAGGCGCGGTACAGCTGTACAAACGGAATCTGCATCTTGGCCACACGTAGAGTGTCTCCTCAATAACTTAACGGATGTCGAACCACCCCAGACCCGTTCTGCCGCCAAACGGAAAAGCAGTCATACCCTTCCTGATGAGCCTCGGAAGAAAAAGAACAAAGTATTCCCACTGGAAACGCCAATACCATCACTGTTCGTCGACAGAATGTCAATGGAACAGATATGGGAGCAGTTGGATCTGAGAGGGGCCAGGGTTTGCGAACACCTGCAGATTCTGGAAGGTGAGGGTGAGGATGAAGGTGAAAACGAAGACGAGCGGAGTGAGTTCGACGAGGAAGAAAGCGAAGAAGAAGAAGAGGTTTCGGAACTGGAAGAGTCGGGAGATGACCAAGAAGAGGGCGACAGTTCACTACCGGGCGAGGAGGACGTCGCTACACTTCAGGAGGAGTCTTCAGAAGAAGAGGAGGATGAAGAAGGTGACCGGCCGTCTTCAATGTTTGATGTTATTCGCAAAAAGCCTACCACATCGAAGGCAAGCACACACTCCGAGCTTGACGACGGCTTTTTCAATCTCCACGAGTTTAACGCGGAAATAGAGCAAGCAGAGGCAAAATCTGTTTCGAAAGGGCAGTTGCATCGTGACACAGACTCGGAAGACTCAGGAACCGAGACAGACGTTGACTTGTTCGAAGCGGTGGATGAAGCTGTGGATGAGGAGGACCTGGAAGAAAGTACGTATTGTGCAGAATTTAGTGCCCGGTTGCGCTGACAAGTGGGTCAGACTACTTCTACAGGGACTTCTTCGATGCTCCGAGATCATCCAAGTCACGTCAAACAACGAGCACATCCAAACCATCAAAGGTCCGGTTCCACGATCAGGTAAAGGTTAAGAAAATAAAAGCCAGAGGCAGGGGACTTCCCGTTTCAGCTATGATGTACGAGGAAGACGATGAAGACGACGAAGAATTTGTGGCAGAGGATGATGACGGTAGTGACCAAGAGACGTATAAAGAATTGTCAGATGATGACGAAGAAGAAGACGAGGATGAAGATGAGGATGAGGAAGAAGGGGAAGGGGACGACGACGACGACGACGACGACGAAGCAGGGGAGGATGCGGTGACAGAAGATGGTACTAGATTGGCCATTGAAAGAATGAGGGACGACCTCTTCGCGGAGGACGAAGAACAGCAGAAAGGTGAGTGATACAACACGCAAGTCCTATTGACTACGCTCATTATTTTGCAGACTTGGGCATGACCACCCACGAGCGTCGAATGGCTGCGCTTCAGGAACAAATAAAGAAGCTCGAGGCCGAGAACGTAGCCAAGAAAGACTGGGTGCTTATGGGGGAGGCATCTTCCAAGAGCCGTCCACGCGACTCGCTGCTCCAGGAAGACCTGGAATTTGATCGAATAGCCAAATCCGTGCCCATCGTTACTGAGGAGGTGGTGGCGGGGCTCGAAGAACGCATCAAGACCCGCATCAAAGAGGGCCGTTTCGATGATGTCGTTCGCCGACGGCCTTTGGACGATAAACCGTTCTTGCCATCTCGCTTGTTCGAGCTACAAGACACAAAGTCCCAACAATCACTGGCTCAGATTTACGAAAATGAGTATATGGCTGCTCAAGCAGGTAGTTCTACCGACGACCGGGACGCGAAGCTGAAGAAGGAACACGAAGCAATCACTAAGCTGTGGGAGGGCATATGTAACAAGCTCGATGCCTTGTGCAATGCGCACTACGTCCCCAAGCAGGTACGAGATACTGTTGAAAATTCTTTGGTTAGTTGGCTAACAGATCCTTTTTTCCTCCTTTCCTTTCTTTTGCAACTAGCCGAAGGCAACGATAACAACCGTATCTGACGTCGCTGCTGCGACTTTGGAGTCTGCCCTACCTACCAACAAGTCCGTGTCGACCACGCTCGCTCCCGAGGAGATATTTGCGCCCGCATCGTCAGATCCTCGCGTACGGAGCGAGCTCACGCCGGCTGAGAAGCGTGCGTTGCGAACGAAGCAACGCAAGGCGAGGAAGAAGGAACGCGACCTGCTCGAGAAGAGTGTCGACAAGTTTGCCAAGAAGAAGAAGGGGGTAAAGGAGCAGAAAGATGCAGCGTTGAAAAGTCTGGTTAAGTCTGGGAAGGGCGTCACCGTAGTTGGGAAGGAAGCTAAGAGGGCGAAGACGGCTGGCAAACGGAAGTCATAACGAGGGGGAACTACGTTATTCTGCGAGATCTAGCTAGTTTATTTGGACGAGTTTTTTGATCGCAATCGGACGAGCATCTCATCATCATCTGACCTTGGAGAAGTGAAACAGTTGTCAACCTATGCACCCGTGGCCACTCGATGACGTCGAGCCCCACGCCAGCCTGCGTCATGGTTACTGCTATAAAAGCTTTATAAACCTCGACGGTGTTACCCTCGGACCAACAGACATCCACCAGAAAAGCAAACGATGGCACTCAACGAACACAATATTGGTACGAACAGAACCGCGGGTGCTTACCCTGGCATAGCGAACCCGACCCTGCATAGTGCATCCTTTAACCCTATGGTATGTGAATTCTTTCACGGGGCGATTTTTCTTTTGTATCGTCATGTTAACTTGACATTGACGAACTCATCCGTAGGTTACCGATCGCCCTACGGAGGAGACGGGGGCTGGTACAGGCTCCCAGCTCGGGAGCCACAGAGATGACGCGAAACACTGCTCAAAGAGAAGCGATGCACACCTAGGAGAGCATCCGCAGGGGTGGTCGAGGGTCACCCGGGTATTATCGAATCGTCCCACATCGAACCTCTGGACGAGGAGTACAAGGAAGGTGGTAAGTTGATCCTTTGTATATATCGCCCCTTGTCAATTGATGGATTGGCGACCTAAATTTGCAGAAGCTGGGCGTGGAAGAACGATGGGTCGGTCTACCCCTATGCAGGCACAAGCTCTAAAAGAACGTATCTCAGCTGCCGCGGAAGGCGCAGCCAACGTCGTTTATGGCGTTGCCACCGGCGATCAGCAAGCGACGAACGCAGGAAAGGAAGCTCTCGGTTTCAACCAGTAAAGCAATTTTTATACGCCCGGTTCGCTTTTTCCAGTAGGGGGGGATACGATTGTAATATCTTGTACGATATACCAACATCTCTCTAACACTTTCTTTTTCTGGCTGTTGCACACACTTCGTTACATGGAATGGCTGCGACGGAGGGAGAAAACCATTATATTAAAGACATGACGACAAATAAGAAGTCAAACCAATAAAATCATACAAGCGGAGCATCCAAATCGTGCCGACCATATGCGCTCTCAGGATAATACCTTGCCCTTACCGTACGTCCTCCAAAGTACCTCCCTTCCATTTCTCGCACCGTCTTCCACGCTCCAGAGGGTCCAGCGAACACAACAAATACACGTACCGCATCCTCGGGATTGTCCGGAGGTGGGAACGTAGAATGGAGTATCACGCGTTCGACGGTGCCATTCTTAGAGCACTCCACGCCTGTAGAATGTAACCTTAGGATCAAGCACCTTGCTGGCCGCAGAGGAAACTAACCGATGTCATCTCTAAGTTCACCATCGTTCAGGTCCTCTGGATCCACCATGTTCGTAAGGACAACCACCCGACTAGGCTCTCCAAATCTCGCCTTGTCCTCTTTCGCTCGGGCATCTTCATTGTCGTTGATAATTCGTCCCATTTTCGACCCAATTGGTGTATTGCCTTTCACACTCTGCACTTGACCCTTTTTTACTTTTACCTTGAGCGGCGACCTGTTCCACGGTAAGG